CTTCCGGTTTTCCTTTTATATAAAATGGAGATTAAAATAATAACTACTTTCAGGGCATTGTTATAAGGACTAAAGAATATGAATGTAATTTTTTTTTTGAGATGGAATCTCCCTCTGTTGCCGAGACTGGAGTGCAGTGGCACGTTCCCAGGTCAGTGCTGCAACCTCTGCCTCCCGGGTTCAAGTGATTCTTCTGCCTTAGCCTCCTGAGTAACTGGGATTACAGGTGCACGCCTCCACACCTGGCTATTTTTGTATTTTTAGTAGAGATGGAGTTTAACCATATTGGCTAGGCTGGTCTCAAACTCCTGACCTCGTGATCCACCCACCTCAGCCTCCTAAAGGGCTGGGATTACAGGCGTGAGTCACCATGCCTGGCCCAGGAATGTAATTTTTTTTAAAAAAGAATGAAAACCCCTCGATCCCAGGCTATATGAATAATATATTTATGTATAAATCAAATTGGCAGCTAATGAGGAAAATGTTGGTCAGTGATGATCACTGAATTTAGCAGGGACATTGAGTAAAGCTAGTGAACATTAAAATTGAGGTGTACAGAAAAGACTAAGGAGGCTGAAAGAGCTGAAGGAACTACAGAGGTGAGATTAAGGGGAATGAATCACTGTCTCCAAAGATGTAAAGAATTGTTATAAAGTTTTCCATTGCATCTAAAACATAAATAGGACTAATGACAGTAAGTCCTATTTTTTTTTTTGCTTCTAGTAGGATATTAATTAAAGGTCTAAGATTCGAAATGGTGTGTTGTGTCATGATATAATGTGTGGTCTGGGGAAGGGCATGTACATGCCTTTGCAATAAGATCGTGAACTTTTCAGGGCCAGGGCTTGATCACTAACTTTTTATTCCATAAGTAATTGCCAACAGTAGTTACTTAGGGAAGATTTGGTGAATGAACAGATAAAGATTTATACATCCATGATACATGTAAGAAAATTTTATTACATGAATATTGTAGCAATGTAGACATGGCTACAATACAATGTAGACATGGCCAGTGAAGAGAATATTGGAAGGAAAAAAAACCTCTAGACTGTCAAAAATGTTTAGTAAAATGCATTTTGGATGGTATCATTAATGCTGGATTATATACAACTTGATTAATTAAAAGGATGTTTTAAGAGTTCCAGAAAAGTAACAACTACTAATGATGGACCTGTTTTCTCACTAACACCATGGTCCCAACATTTAGATACAGGTGCTAACATTTAATAGTCAATTATTTCTGTTGTATACTTCCAAGGCCACAAAATATATGTATACACACACACACACACACACACACACACACACACACTTATTTATACAGACACATGTATCTCCTCTAATTTTCTCCTTATATCCTTAAACATTTTCTCTTGGAGATACTTGTCATTGCTTTGTTGTGCTTATTCAGGTCTCTGGGGTCAGGTGCTGTGGCATAGTCAGACTAATGATTGCATGCTTCATTCAGCAGAACAATTTTTTCATTTGCACTTATTCCATTCCCTTCAGACACTTCTAGTTTCCCCTCTGATAGTCCTTCCCTCCCCATTGTGCAGTACGGTTCACTGCTGGGGCCCATTTGGGCACAAACCAGATATTTTGTTGAGTTACTGTACTCCTACCTTTCTAATTATAGAATTCAAAACAGAATGAGTGAATTAATGACATGAATTTACTTCCTGGAGTGTCTGGGGCAGTGAAATGCTGCAGCATGCTTGCAATAGCACATAAGCTCTCCCTTCACTCCTTGTCCTCCATTTTTGTTATGTGGCTTCACAGCAGCAAGAATGGAAGGTGCATTTTTCTCACCAGTGAGTAAATCATGTGAATGGCTATTTTAAAGCACATGCTCTAAATGCAGTTCACAGAGAGTAGTATACTTTCAAAAGCTCTCTGAGAACACATGCTTAGAATATGAAAATGTACAGTATTTCCTCAGGCATCCTAGGTAAGGCAAGAGTGTGTAGGCATAGGCAACATTTAAAGGTGTGTGGTTACATTTCATTTCTCCAAATAATTGTTTGATATTTGATTCTACAGCCCTTCAGTGCAGGCAAATACTTGGAATATTAGCATCATAGAGATAAAATTCTTAATTACCGAAAGACTGTAGAAGTCACTTTTCTTTGCCTGATACTAGGAAGGATTCTGATTCAAGGAAGCAGTCTTTGTTCCTCTGGTCTTATGTGACAGTCTGTATCTTCAGGTCCATGCAGGTTGATGCACACCAAAAAGTGGATTCAAAGCTGCCTGATTCAAGGCTTAGTGATTGGGAAGACAAGGGTTTCATTTTCTTTTTTTTTTTATTGCATTTTAGGTTTGGGGGTACATGTGCAGAACATGCAAGATAGTTGCATAGGTACACATGTGGCAGTGTGATTTGCTGCCTTCCTCCCCTTCACCCACATCTGGCATTTCTCCCCATGCTATCCCTCCCCAGCTCCCTGCCGTCCCTCCCCTATTCCCTGCAATAGACCCCAGTGTGTAGTACTCCCCTCCATGTGTTCTCATTGTTCATCACTCGCCTAGGAGTGAGAACATGCGGTATTTCATTTTCTGTTCTTGTGTCAGTTTGCTGAGAATGATGTTCTCCAGATTCATCCATGTCCCTACAAAGGACATGAACTCATTGTTTTTGATTGCTGCATAATATTCCATGGTGTATATGTGCCACATTTTCCCAGTCCAGTCTATCATCAGTAGGCATGTGGGTTGATTCCAGGTCTTTGCTATGGTAAACAGTGCTGCAATGAACATTCATGTGCATGTGTCCTTATAGTAAAATGATTTATAGTCCTTTGGATATATACCCAGTAATGGGATTGCTGGGTCAAATGGAATTTCTATTTCTAGGTCCTTGAGGAATCGCCACACTGTCTTCCACAATGATTGAACTAATTTACACTCCCACCAGCAGTTTAAAAGTGTTCCTGTTTCTCCACATCCTCTCCAGCATCTGTTGTCTCCAAATTTTTTAATAATCGCCATTCTAACTGGCGTGAGCTGGTATCTCAATGTAGTTTTGATTTGCATTTCTCTAATGACCAGTGATGATGAGCATTTTTTCATATGTTTGTTGGCCTCATGTATGTCTTCTTTTATAAAGTGTCTGTTCATATCCTTTGCCCATTTTTGAATGGGCTTGTTTGTTTTTTTCTTGTAAATCTGTTTTAGTTCTTTGTAAATTCTGGATATCAGCCCTTTGTCACAGGGGTAAACTGCAAAAATTTTTTCCCATTCTGTTGGTTGCCGATTCACTCTAGTGACTGTTTCTTTTGCCGTGCAGAAGCTGTGGAGTTTCATTAGGTCCCATTTGTCTATTTTGGCTTTTGTTGCCAATGCTTTTGGTGTTTTGGTCATGAAGTCCCTGCCTACTCCTATATCCCGAATGGTTTTGCCTAGATTTTCTTCTAGGGTTTTTATGGTGCCAGGTCTTATGTTTAAGTCTTTAATCCATCAGGAGTTAATTTTAGTGTAAGATGTCAGGAAGGGGTCCAGTTTCTGCTTTCTGCACATGGCTAGCCAGTTTTCCCAACACCATTTATTAAACAGGGAATCCTTTCCCCATTGCTTGTTTTTGTCAGGTATATCAAAGATTGTATGGTTGTAGATATGTTGTGTTGCCTCTGATGCCTCTGTTCTGTTACGTTGGTCTATATCTCTGTTTTGGTACCAGTACCATGCTGTTTTGATTACAGTACCCTTGTAGTATAGTTTGAAGTCCAGTAGTGTGATGCCTCCTGCTGTGTTCTTTTTGCTTCGAATTGACTCGGCTATGCGGGCTCTCTTTTGGTTCCAGATGAAGTTTAAGGTGGTTTTTTCCAGTTCTGTGAAGAAGGTCATTGGTTGCTTGATGGGGATAGCGTTGAGTGTAAATTACTTTGGGCAGTATGGTCATTTTCATTTTCATTTGTCAGCTCCCTGTTTGATTAAGATTTTTGATAGAAAAAGCCAACTTTCAGATGTAATGCCCAGGATAGGTTAAGGCAAAAATCAGCTCTTTGAAATATAATTGCTTCCATTAGGTTGGCAGATTTCACTAAGCTCTTTTTAGGAAGAAAATGCTAAAATTTAAAATAAAACACAGAAATTATTACAAGAATGAAAAGTGTGAGGGAATAACTTTAATAAATAACAAACTATTAATGATGTATACTGAAAATATAATGTCCATAAAAGGAGAGTGAAAACTCCATCACATGGTTCTGTGGGTAACTAGGATGATTTTCACACTAGATAATAAGTATTACTTTTTCTTTGTAAATTACACTCATGGGCATCCCAGTCACAAGCAGAGTACTAGGCCAGAGGGACTGTGGTTCTAACCCTCAGAGAACAGTTCTTGTTAGATATATTTCTTTCTATCTAACTTTCTAGAAAGCCTACAATGGCTTATGTAATTCCAACACATTCGTTATTTTTAAAAGCAAAAGCAAAGTGAAAGCAATTAAAGTGTTTTCTTCTTGGGCTGATGGTTTTCAGGCTCCAGGTTTATCATGAGATATGACCCATGTTATGCTGTATTTTTTCCATACAAATAAGATGTTCAGATGTCTGTCATTTAATTCAATACTGTGTGAACCATTGTGTGTATTCAAACATTCGGCATGTTTTATAACAAAATCAGTAAATACTTTATCTTGAATATTAGTTTTATCCTGCCCATATTGTAAGACATATTTAAGTGATGTATATATAAACAAAGTTTCTAAACTAAAAAATATATTAAAGCATAGACAAATTGAAATGCATATCATACAATATATTCTAATACTTCTTCCACAATTACTTCCAACTTTTTTCTTTTAGTATCCAAAATAAAATGAAGGCCAAGGTTTCAGAATTCTTAAGAGGATTTTTTTTATATTCTAGTTCCTTGTCACTATGCTTCATTTAACTGTGTGAAATAGCAGATGTGAAATAAACCATAAATGAATTATGCATATGTTCCAGATTTGTCATCTATTTTTGCTGATAATTTTTTTAACTTTTTTCAGCCATTGATCTTATCAACAATTTGCTGCAAGTAAAAATGAGAAAGCGCTACAGTGTGGATAAGACCTTGAGCCACCCTTGGCTACAGGTAAACAATAATCATTGAGTTTTCTTAGCTGAACGAAACTTCTAAATATTTATAGGATTTTGATATTTAGAAATCTTTTGCAATAATTTTTAAAGTGTTATTATTCTAATATCAATTTGTTTGCTCAAATGCATGCAACTTCATAAGATTTAATAACAATTTAGTGTTTCTAAACTTTTTTTCTACCAGGATTACTTGATAGAGAAGATACACACACACACACACACACACGCACACACACACATGCACACACACATATTCCAAAACCCAAAAGCAAAACCAAAAATAAATAAATAAACCAAGGATCATAACAGACCTCAGAGGACCAGATTTCAAAAGCATCTGTATGTGTAATCCTGATAAATGTACAAATAGATGCCCATCTGGCCATGCACTATACTCATTTAGAAGCTATGTTTTTAAATGCTAGGTTATTATATATGGAACAAATGCATGGCAAATACAAAGTATATACATCTGCTTCTATTCTCTTAAATATTATTTTCAGATTGAATTTCAAGCATAGAAAAATAATACTCTGAAATGCTGAAGGATTATTTGTAGGCATTGAATTTCAAAGGAATACCAGCATTCATGATTGCTTGACTGCAAACATTAATTGCCTACTCTTTGATCCATGGTATCATATACACAGTATGTATTTGCAAAGATTAGGTAAACAGGATGGTTTTGGTGCCAATGCTGTCACTTGAGGATACATGATGAAAGATTCAGTGCTGTTAGAGTAGAAGGAAAAGGGTAACTCATAGATTGTGGAAACTGACAACATATGAAACAGCATGTTGAGTTGTAATGATCTCTATGGTAATATTTTGGAATTTCTTCTTCAGGACTATCAGACCTGGTTAGATTTGCGAGAGCTGGAGTGCAAAATCGGAGAGCGCTACATCACCCATGAAAGCGATGACTTGAGGTGGGAGCAGTATGCAGGTGAGCAGGGGCTGCAGTATCCTGCACACCTGATTAATCCAAGTGCTAGCCACAGTGACAGTCCTGAGATGGAAGAAACAGAAATGAAAGCCCTTGGTGAGCGTGTCAGCATCCTCTGAGTTCTTTCTCCTATAATCTGTCAAAACACTGTGGAACTAATAAATACATACGGTCAGGTTTAACATTTGCCTTGCAGAACTGCCATTATTTTCTGTCAGATGAGAACAAAGCTGTTAAACTGTTAGAACTGTTGATGTATCTGAGTTGCCAAGACAAATCAACAGAAGCATTTGTATTTTGTGTGACCAACTGTGTTGTATTAACAAAAGTTCCCTGAAACACTAAACTTGTTATTGTGAATGATTCATGTTATATTTAATGCATTAAACCTGTCTCCACTGTGCCTTTGCAAATCAGTGTTTTTCTTACTGGAGCCTCATTTTGGTAAAAGACAGAATGTATCCATGGAATAGTTCTGTTTGTTGTGTCCCATTGGTGTTGTCATTGTAAATAAACTCTTGAAGAGTCGATAATTTCCGGTGTTCTATGAACAACTCCGGAACTCATGTGAAAGAATGAATGAGGGGGGTAGGGAATAAAATCCTGAGACACAAATGCATGAACAAGTTTTAATGCATAGTTTCAAATCCTTTGCCTGCCTGGTGTGCCTCAGTATATTTAAACTCAAGGCAATGCACCTAGGCGTGCAGACCTAGTGCTCTTAAGCCTAAATGCCTTAGAAATGTAAACTGCCATATATAACAGATAAAGTTTCTTCTTTATTATAATACTCTGTTGTACTATGGAAAACGAGCTGCTCAGCAACCTTTCACCTTTGTGTATTTTTCAATAATAAAAAATATTCTTGTCAAAATATGTATCCATCTGAGTGAATGATTTTCATTCATAGTTCACAGTCGAGTTTTCAGTCCTGCTAAGAGTGGAGACGTCTGCTCAAAAAGCAGGAAGAAATGCTTATAGTCTAGAATGTAGCCTTCTCTACTCTGAAGCAGTAAAAGTATGTTTCAAAGCGGACTGAAGCCTTTCTGTCTTGCATATGGTTTAATTTCCAATAGAAAGGAAGGCTTTCAAAGTGAAAAGTGACCAAAGCCAAACAGAGTACTTGGAGGCATAAGTAGGAATATTGCAATACCATGTTAATGTAGCTTTCTGATTTAGTAAGTAGAAGCTAGGGATTTATTAGAATACCAAATCAAGTTTCTCTTCATATCTTCTAAAGATGGTTCTGAGGTGAACCAAAGAATCACTTAAAGACTGGAAAGTAATCCCGAAACAGAAAGGCTTATCAAGTGAAGTTCTACAGCCTGGAGAAGAGAAATGGGACCTAACAGATTTTAGGTACATAATGTAAGTAATGTGGGCTGTTTTCCTTAGTAGCAGAATGGCAATATTATGCTGTATAACAGAAAAAAAGGTAATGTTTGGAAGAATGTTACGAGACTGTGAAACAGTTGAATATATTAGATAAGTATGTTAAGACTGTACTCTTTCCACATGGAGGAATAAGGGGACAATAGATAATCTTTCTAATGATTAGTCTCTGTTTTGTATTATTATTGAACTTTAAAAGTAAAAAAAAGTTAAAGGTTCCTTAGTCTGCTTTTCTCTAAGGGGAGAGTATGTGTACGTGTATGCATGTGTGCAGGCATCCACAAGTGAATTTGCATGGACAAACATACATGTGTCATCAAGTTGAAAATAGAATGTTAATCAGTAAGACAATGACTCTCTTGCCATCCTAGGAATATAACTGGCACCTTTCCTATGATATCTTTTTCAAGCAATTTCAGGAAAATGAAAAAGGAGTGGAAGCGTGTAAAGTTCTTCCTTCTTAGTATGTGCACAATAAATTAGAGGCTTATTGTTCGAATTATGATAATTTATATAGTTTATATATGTTTGATCAGCTGCAATACAAAATGTAGTCAATAACTTTTCTTGCTTGATATGGGATCCTAAAAAGATGATAGGAACATAAACCATGGTAATACTATACATATAGTATAAAATATCCTAGAGTCCTTGATGATTAGGAAGAGTAACCAAATATTACTCTACATTATAAAACCACACAGAAGTCCATGATTCATGCAGGAAAAAATTATTTCACATCTGTTCTACACAGCTTTTTGCTAGATTCTAAAATTTTGTAATGTGAATAAGACATGGTCCCTGCACAAAGTAAATGTATTAGATAGAAATGAATAAACATAATAAATTGTTGGTGCTTTTAGAAAATAAGATGTAAAGATACAAGGCATCATGAAGAACAGTTAATAATGGAAGAAGGCAACATAATGATGTTTTAGCAGAGCTAGAAAAAATCATGGTATACACCTGGCTCAAAGTAGGAGAAAACAGCATGAACAAAGATGAAGGTCCAAAGAGGGCTGTTACACAGACAAAAGTAGTTCTTTATGAAGATGAATAAAGGTAAGGAGGAAATGAAGATGTCAATCCAATAGAGATGGGTGATGATCTTGGTCTGGAGGCCTGTGTATGTTATTCTGGGGACTTGGGATTTATTCTGTGTAAATCCCAGGAAACCAACATTTTTCAAGCTGAAAGGACTATTAATCAGAAGCAGGTAGAGATTTAGAAAGAGTGAGTTCACATTTTAACCTTTGTGTATGAAGTTTCTGTAGGGCGCCCAAGTTTGAAATATTCTGAAAGTAGTTAGAAATGAGTTTGGGGTTTAAGAAAGAAATCTGGAATTGAATATAATGGATTCGAAAGCCAACAGCCCAAAATATGTTGATGGGAATGACTCATCCCTGGGAGAAAATAAATATAATGAAAGGAAAGTGGTCATAGGGCATAAACCTGAGAATTATTGATATGGAAGGATCACTCAGAATAAGGAAAATTGAAAAGGAATTTTCAGAGGTAGAATCAAATGGAGTAGTAGTACAGATATCAACATAAGAAGTAATTTCAAGGATTAAGTAGGTAACAGTAGAAAATGTTATGGCAAGGTAATAATTTTAGCCTTTTGGGGGTCACCCTTACCAACTATTTCAGCAGTTTGTAGTGAACAGGTCTCCTGCTACATTCAGAGTAGCTATGTCGAAAGAATATCTGCATGGCAATGATACTGACAATGATACTGTCATCAAGCAAAGGAATGAGAAAGCCACTGCCCATGTCAAGGAAAAAAGTGGGCCACTGAAAGTCATGCTACTTTCTGCCATCAACAATATTAGTGATGCTGCAAAGATTCCAATTTTAGTAAATCAGCACCAACTTCTGGGTAAATACCAGCAATAAATTTCCTCAGACCTCACATCCGTGGTATGTTATAATAAATAATATGGGTAGGTGAGCAGTTTATATTTAATGCAAGAAGCAGATTAACATTTTTGATGCAGAAAAGGTATCATTATGACAAAAGTAAAAGAAGTGACAGAAACTCCTTTGAGGCAGGATGTGTCCTCTATCATTGTTATATATTTTTTTAAAAAGCAATATTGTCGGCTCACCCAAAATGCCATGATAATTGCTAGCCTCTATGTATCCAGACCCATTAGAGCAAACCACCACAGTACTTGCTTTTGGCCTGAGCAAGCGGACAGCCCTGAGAGAAATGTTTTCATCAGCAATGCTTTTTATATGTTCATTGTCCTTAAGGAAGAAATAATCTTTGAGTTAAGTGAATACCCACTCTGATGGAGACAATTTTGAGAAATATATGGTCAGCCACTTTATTGAATGTATATAATAAGTATAGTGATAAAATAAGAAAGCCATCTGTCCCCTCCTCTCTTCATTCATTTTCTAATCAATATTCAGTCTGACGGCCTTCATAAAGTAATTACATTTTGCATACCCTTTGTTTAGACCTGTTTTAAGGAACCAAATACTAGTTCATCTGAAGACACATTAAGGCCCATGGAGAAGGGTCTGCTACCTTTAATTGCCAAAAGACCGTACCCTCTTTCATCTCTGATCTTTCCACATTGCCCGAAGCACTGTTCTCTCTGCCCCACTCCGTCTACTGTGTTAATGCCTATTAATCCTTTTGCCATTTGTTTGCCCTAGGTCTCCTGTCCTTTTTGTTTCCATGTTCCTCTTTAACTGCCTCTTTTGTACTAGATACATATTTTTAGTAAGACATTTTAATTCTGTGTTGAATATTTACTATTTATTTTAGTCATTTTCTTGATGATTCCTCTAGGGATTATAATATGCATATTTACTAATCACTATCTACTTCAAATTAACACTAACTTAATTCCAGTGAAATATACAAACTTTGCTCCAATATCGCTCCATTCCCTTGACCCTTCTTTGTGATATTATTGTCATATATATTACAGTTTTATGTGTTGAAATCATTTTGCAATATTGTTTTATGCAATTATTCTTTAAATCAGTGAAGAAAAAAACAAAAATATTTTTCCTTTACATTTACTTACCTTTTCCATTGTTCTTTATTTTTTCATGTGAATCAAGGTATTATCTATTGAGTGTCATTTCTATTCTGCCTGAATATCTTTCTTTAGTGTTTCCTTGAGGCAGGTCTGCTAGCAACAAATTTCCTCAGTCTTTTTATATCTGGCAATGTTTTTATTTCACCTCTGGTTTTTGAAGTATAGTTTTGCTGGGTATAAAATTATTGGTTGACAGATATTTTTCCCCTTCAGTATTTTAAATATGTCATCCCACCACCTTTTAGCCTCTGTTATCTCTCAGGAAAGATCACCTTTAATCTTATGGTGGTTTCCTTACATGTGATAAATTTTTCTCAGTGCTTTCAATATTTTCCCTTTGTCTTGCAACAGTTAATGATGTGTCTAGGTGTTGGGGTTTTTTTGTTTGTTTTCTTTTATTTTTTTTATTTTGATTAGCCTACTTAGGTTTGTTGCAATTCTTGGATGTGTAGATAAATATTTTTCCATCCAATTTGAGAAAAATTAGGCCATTATTTCTTCAAAGACTTTTCTTTCCCTTTTCATCCTTTCTGTCTTGGACTCCCATTACATGTAATTTGGTGTGCTTTGGTGAGTGCCAAAGGTTTCTGAGGCTCCATTCATTTTTCTTCATTCTTTTTCTTTCTGTTCTTCACATTGATCTGTCTTCAGCTTCATTGGTTCTTCTTTCTTCTAGAACAAATCTGCTGTTAAGTACTTCTGTTGATTTTTTTCTTTGTTTCTATTTTATTATGAAATATATTTCTCTTTTTAAAAAATATTTTCTGTTGACTAACTCACTGTTATACTTCCCTTCATTTTTAAAATGTGGTTCTCCTGTGTTTTTAAAGCATATTTATAATAGTAGCTCTGAAGTCTTTGTCTATTAAGTCCAACATTTAGGCCTTCTCCCTCTCTTTCCACCTCATAAGAGACAATTTCCATTGAAATCCCCAAAGTATGATGTATGCATCACACTTTGCTGTTTCTTTGTCATGTCTTGTTGAAAAATTGATATTTTAACTAATATATCATAGCAACTCTTAATTGTGATTCATCCCCCCAGTAGCTGTTGCTGTTTCTATTTGTTTGTGTAGTAACTTTCCAAAATTAATTATCTAGAATCTATCTTCCCCATAGTATGCAGCTGCTGATTGCTCTGATGCATATTTTGTTTGTTTGTTTGTTTGTTTTTTATGTTTGTGTTGTTTGTATTTTTAAGTCTGGCTTCCTAGGAGCCACCTCTGTAACAGAATAGCTCAGTGGTCAAAAAATAATAGTACAGACATTATGTTTAAGTACCTTGAGCCAATAAAGCTTCTACCTTTTTCTGATGTATCTAAGCATGGGTTAAGTTCAAACAGTTAATAAGTTTCCCCCAGCTCCTTTTTACTTGCTGTGTGTGCAAGACCTTACATTCAGCCAGGGAAAAGTAGATGTCTAA